CATTTTGGCTGCATCGATAGCGCTAAATGTATCAACTGCAGGGGGGGATTATAGCCCTTGGCCAAGTGCAGCGTACTACTCCTATGTTTTAGAGTAGGCTGGATGTGTCAATCCTATGTGACTGCTATCTCTTTTGGCCTACCTAGTGTCCCATGGCCTTGAGACATAATTATCATTTTGTGAAGTTTTTTCAGTTCAGAGTTCAGTAACAAGGTGAGGACTGTACTGCAGCCCACCAGAAACTTTTTTCTCTAACAGGAAACTGAGGGTGTGCCCTGCAGTACGGCACACTGGGGCACAAAGCTTTCTGAAATAAGGCTGGAGTATTGCAAATGACAGCAAGAGTCAAACTGGCTCATCCACATTACAGACTGGGAGTTGCCCCAAAATCATAGCTAGGTTTTGTTCCGGAGGGAATAAACTGATTCACTCCAAAAGAGATCCTGGGGCTCTATTAAAATTTAGATATGTGAACAAACAGAGGAATAAAACCCAGGAGGGAACCGTGAGGCTAAATTATTTGTCAGTGTAGATCTGTCACTTGAGATAAACAGCTTCTTAGCTCTGAATAAGGGAGTTCTTGGGAGTCTGCAGAGTGTCCAAGTCTTAAACGCTATCTTGGGGAATCGACAAGGTATCCTCTGCTTGACTGGAGATTCCCAGGCATCCAGCCAAGTGAAGACTTGAGAATGCTGAATGTGAGAACCTTGACTAGAAAAAAGGCTCTTGCACTTTCAGGACTGCCAGAATCCAAACTGGAGATGCATGTCTTCCTTGAATTCACGGAATCTCATAACCCTGTTTCCTTAGAAGTCACCTAGGAAACCACACAGTGTAGGAGATCCAAGGAAATCTGCTTGTGATTTAATGAGTTTGTCAAACTTGCAGCATTTTCATGAAAATTTCTGGAACTGATGAATTAGTATTTTCTACTGGAAAACTCTTTTTCTTGAGAAACATCATTTCACCTATTAGGGAGCATCCTTCTGATGATGTCACCTTTGAGGATGGTTTAGAGCTGGAACTAGAATATCAAAACTATAGTAAGCTAGCTATGTAGCTCACCTGGAATTTTCTCCCTTGATGAATGCATTCAAAATGAAACTTTTTATCGAAATTAGAGCATTTAGCAAAAGATCTCAACCGTGGGGGGGGAGAGGAAAGTAAATTGAGCATGAAAGGTACATTAAACAGAGCTGTATTATGCCACATGCAACTATAGGAGCAAAGGAAAATTTTAAATCAGAAAGTAGCTATTACCGGAGCCTTGTTTTTCTATTTTTATAGTAGCCCCAACTTTGACAGCTGGCAATCCCACTGCTTACAATTTTCCCTGTAACTGTTGATTTGCCTTGCTAGGAGAGTATTTGGGTCCTTTTGAACAAACCTCTTCTTGGATTTTAGGTACTGAAGGTATGTTCAAATGCAGAAAAATTAATAGATCCTTTTAAATGTTAGAGGTGAAACTAGAATTCTTATATTAGAGCTGCTGTTCCTGGTATATTTGTACTTTGAAGTTCTGAACATCTAAAATAAGATGAAAGAAAATCTTTCTGAGTGGAAGCATGCTGGGGTTTTTTTCTCTCTTTCAATTTACCTGCCTATTAGTTTCGCAGCCATCGCTCAATTGTTACTTCTCAAAAGATATCCAGAACAAAGAAGATGAAAGTCTAGTATAGATACCATGGAAGCACAGAACATTATAAATAGACTTTATTCTGGCATTCAAAATGTCTTCCTTCTGCTATTTCAGCTATTCAGATTAAAACAGAATATTAATTTTAATAACAATATATGAATTGATTATGTTGTATAGAAGTCCTCACACTCATAGTGATCCATCTAGCTCCCAAAATATGGCCGTCTTGCTCTTTCAGTTTGATTTTTACCATGTAAATAAACTCCCTAGAGCTGTTCAAAGAGCAAAGGGATTCCTGCAGCTAGATGGAGAGTAATTGCCCTCGGAAAGGTGGCAAATTCCCCCAACATCTAGGGCCTCATTCCGTATTAAACAAGTCCCTTCAACCTCATTTGAATGCTTAGGTGACCATACTGTTGGAGGTCATGCAGGATTCATCCCCTCAAGCATTCCCCATTCAGTAGCTCTCTCCTCACAGTCTGGAGTTTCCAAAAGACATTGCAAGCTCATTCCCTCTCTTTAATTCTGAAGACAGCATGTTCCATGAACTCCAGCAAACAGCAACGGCAGCCAGTGCAGATATCAAGCAATTCCCCTTATCCGAAACTGCTGAAAAGCTTCTTATCCCATTAAGGCCCAGATGAGACCATTATGCCTAGAAGACTCTATCTCTTTTGAGTACTGTCCTCATCCCAGAGCTGGCATTAGAAGAGGCAGGTGAACACCACTGCACATGCCTCAGTACTAAACAAGATAATTGGGTTCAGCTGAATGGTGAGTTATGTAGCGCTGAAATGACTGTCACTAAAAAGACACAGCTGCACACAGGGCAGGAACAGACACAGGACAGGACTGAACAGGGGATAGGCAGGAAAAATGTACAGAAACCTTGCCATTCAATGTCTTTGGACACTTCAGAAATGACCAAGATAATTGCCAAGAGATGGTGGCCATGTCTCTACATACTAGCAAGTTACTTTGTAAATCCAACCAAGGTACAGGTAAACCTTTTTTTCTGGGACTGAGGACCATATCATATTGCCCATCTGGCCAATTAGCCCACTTAAGGGTAGATTCTTTGGAAAATAGTTGTCATCCTAGGTGTGTACTGGAAGAGGTTAAAATCAGTACTGAAACATTTCTACACAAAGACAGAAAAGTACATAGTAAAATCTCTCCCTGCTTTAGATACTGACACGGTCTCATTCTTCTAGTCCCATAGCGAAACACTGCCACAGTCCCATCCTTGGACCACACCATGGGTAGATACAGATTGGTCTCTGCCACCCACACTTCAGTCACACACTTGGCCCCTTCCTATTCCTCTCAATATATATTTCTGAAGTATGGACATGCTTTTACTGCAATAAACCACTCATCACAGCCCTTGGACAAGATACCGTTTTCTCCTATAACTTGGGAGAGAGGAGCTTCTTCATCTGGCAGAATGACTCATCAATCTACATTCAGTATCGCAAGCATTGCCTAGCAAGTATGAACTCCACCATGGGAGAAGTACCACTCAGTTCTGCCCACAACATCTAAAATTTTTGCTCTGCACTTAAGATGCTGAGGGCAAAAAAAGATGCCTTTTCCCACCTCTGGCACACACTGGTAACAGATGATAGTAATGACATGCCTGTGGCCCTCTGTTCTTCGCCTTATCTGCTGAGGAAGTGTACACAGGGCAGTTAGACTGAATGAAATGAAGTAGTCTGGTGTTCAGTAGTGACCACCTTCATGGAGCCATCTGCAGTGAAGAGCTTAGTGACTGGATTTTTTCCCCATGCTGGGTGTGGGAATGAATGAATGAATAGCATGTGTAATAAGCAGAGAACATAAAATTCTCTTTTCCAGTACATTTTTTTCCTCAGGCCATTATTACTCTACGGTCTGGCACAATAGAGTAGCGGTGACAGAATTTGGTATTGCTCACTGTACTTTAAAAATTGCAAAAGAGCTCAGGATACAATTTGAGGCAAGTTTTCTGCTGCTGCCTTAGACGACTAGCTCCCTGGGAAATCGGGTTATATTAGAGCTGCTGTTGCAGCTCCCGGGAATCAGGTTGTGGTGGTTACCATCACAAATGATAAGCAAACAAAGACGACATCTGTGACAGTTTCATCATTCAAATTCAAGGCAAGATTGTGCTAAGTTCCCCCAACAACAACAACAATAACCAAACAGAATCACAGAAAGGTTGAGGTTGGAAGGAACCTCCACAGATCACCCGGTCCAACCACCCTGATCAAACAGGGTCACCTACAGCACGTTGCCCAGGACTCTATCCAGATGGCTTTTGAATATCTCCAAGGAAGGACACTCCACAGCCTCTCTGGGCAACTTGCTCCAGTACTCTGTCACCCTCTCAGGAAAGGGGTTTTTCCTTATGTTCAGATGGAGCTTCCTGTGTTTTAGTTTGTGCTTATTGCCCCTTGTCCTGTCACTGGGCACCAGTGAAGAAAGTCTGGCCCTGACCTTTTTACACCTTCCCTTCAGAGATTTATACACATTGATCAGATGCCCTCTCAGTCTTCTCTTCTCCAGGCTGAACAGGCCCAGTTCTCTCAGCCTTTCCTTGTCTGACAGATGCTCCCATCCCTTCTTCATCTTAGTAGCCCTCTGCTGGGAAGGATCACTTCCCTCGACCTGCTGGCAACCCTCTGCCTAATGCAGCCCAGGATATTGTTGGCCTTCTTGGCCACAAGGGCACGTTGCTGCCTCATGGTCAACTTGTTGCTCACCAAGGTCCCCAGGTCCTTCTCTGCAGGGCTGCTTTCCAGCAGCTCAGCCCCCGACCTGTACTGGTGCATGGGGGTTATTCCTCCTCAGGTGCAGGGCTCTGCATTTCCCTTTATTGAACTTCAGGAGGTTCCTCCCTGCCCACCTCTCCAGCCTATTGAGGTCCCTCTGAATGCAGCAGAGCCCTCTGCTGTGTTAGCCACTCCTCACAGGTTTGTATCCTCAGCAAACTTGCTGAGGAGGCACTCTGTCCCTTCATCCAGGCCATTGATGAATAAATTGAACAGGACTGGGCCCCAGATTGACCCCTGGGCAACACTGCTAGCTACAGGCCTCCAACTAGACTCTGTGCCGCTGATCACAACCCTCTGAGCACAGCCATTGACCCAGTTTTCAATGCACCTCACTGTCTGCTCCTCCTGCCCGCACTTCCTCACCTTGCCTCTGAGGATGTTATGGGAGAGATTGTCAAAAGCCTTCCTGAAGTCGAGGTAGATAACCTCCACTGCTCTCCCCTCAGCTACCCAGCCAGTCATTCCATCTGAGAAGTCTGCCAGGCTGGTTAAGCATGATTTCCCCTTCGTGAATCCATGCTGACTACCCTTGATCACCTTCTTACCTTTCATATTCTTGGAAATGGTGTCCAGAATGAGCTGCCTCATCAATGCCGTCAAGGCTCTTCCTCCGCGCTCCCACAGGGCAGGGCACAGACAGAGCCTGAGAGCACCAGCCAGCTCACCCGCCCAAGGCGCTTGGCGTCTGGGACATCAGAGCTTCTTTCTCTTCCCATTTGGTCATATGAGCTCTCCCTGACTCCAGCACTAGGGCACAGGCCAAAGGAAGGATCACTTCTCTCTCTTTTCTTACCAAGCAAATGACCCCCAGAGCTCTGCTCATGGGCACCCTGGCTTTTCAGGGCTGAACGGAGACTATGCCACCAGGGCCTCAGGGGGGACGAGTCACAAACAAAGAGTACTCACCAAAGCTGTAGCAGGCTCCCCCCAAAACAAGAGGAAACTCTAAAAGCATGCAGGTAGCGAAAGCCAAGGGTCAAGGGCTTCAAGGACACAGTGACCAGAAGGCCTGCCGAAAAGCCAGAAGGCTGCTCAGCCGATGGATGCGCTCACCACTGCTCCCTTGATTCTAGCTTCCTGGAGCACTGCAGCTAGAGCAAAGGGGGGGCTGCCCACTGCCACCCAAAACACAGGCGAAAACCAACTTGGGGCTGTGGGCTCCCCTCCAAGAGCAGCATATCTGGACGTAACACTCCATAGTAAGACTATGCAATTTTTCAGCAGAAAAGCAGCCAGAGTGACGTTGCAGAAGAAGCCAGAGGCATAAGTTGCAAAAAGGGTAATAGATCATGAAATGAAATGAGAAGGGGAAAACCTTGCAACTGCGACTTCTTTTTTTGCAATAAACCAGTTAGCAAAAATGTGAAAGCCTCTAAAAATGCTTGAGAGTGAGGGTTCCCTGAAATTCATAGGATAAGTACTCTTTCCTTGAAAGGACACTGTTCCTAGGCCCTAAATCCACTCCGCTTAATTTAATAGAAATAACAACAAAAAAAGCTTACTGTAATTTATTAATTTTTCTCTCCTCTTTTTTCCTAACAACCTGAGGCAGAAAAACGAACAATCCAGTGACCTTTTGTGAAATACTAGTCTAACTGGCAAGGCATTGCTCACAACTAGAGACAAAGTCAAGCAGTTGATTTTACAAATGTCCAGAAAAAATTTAAGACAGCTTCTGTTTGCCAAAGAGTTATCCTCAGGATACATTCCATCTTGGCTTGTTTAAAAAGCATCCTCCATTTCTCTGATATTTACAGCTGCAAGATGTATGCAAAGTTGAAAAAAATATAGCTGCTCCCAAGGGCATAGGAGAGAATAAAATCCCAGGAGAAAATGAAGTAATCTTAGCTCAGTTTGCTCATGGCTTTAGCTAATTTCTGATTCACAATCCTTTTTTCTGTTTCAGTAGACCAATTTAATTAACAAGTATTCTGATTTCACTCTTAAAATTTAAAAGCATCAGATTCTTTAGCCGCATTTTTTTCTTTGCCGTACCAATGTCACTGGGTTGGGTTTTTGGGGGGTTTCTTTGTCCCACAAACTGTGCTGCAGGACTCCTTGTAACTCTCTTGCTGCAGCACAGCTACCCACAGAAGACCTTTTTCCACAGTAATCCAGGAAGACTAACAAATTCTTTTTAGATTCAAGGAACACTGATTTGAATGCATGCCTTTTGTATAGTCTCCTAAACTTTTGGGAGGAGAGCACCAACACATACTTGCCTCTGCGGAATTATATATTCATAATAAAAATGTGAACTTTTAAAATTTCTGAACATTTAAAGATAGTGCAAAGCAATTCATTCAGTAGTAGGTCACTTCGTTGGCGTGACATTCAAAGCTTGATGCGTGAGTGCCCAGAGGGTGCTGTGTTCTGGAACGAAGCACAGCCAAGGGTCGCATTGGGCTTTCACGTGAAGCAGGCTGAAGCTTGCTTCTGGTTAGCCATCCTGTGGTACACAGACCACTACAGATTGTCTGTTTAGGAAAAAATCATGCTGTTAGACTTCAGATAAACCTTTTTCAGAAATCTAAGTGGATTTGAGAAATCATGATGAATAAAATGCGTTTTTAACCCACTTTCTGAGATTTGTTGTAGCATATCCCATATTCTAACTGCTGTTAAGAGGATGCAGCCTCTGAGTAGCTCTGAGCCAAATAAGACCTTTATTTTTTTGTTTTTCTGTTTCAGAGGGACAGATGAGGAAAAAAACTTAGGTTTAATAGTGCAGTTTTGTAATGGACTGTGATCTAATCTGTTTCTTTGTTCTCTCCACTTGCCTGCGTAGGCAAATGTGTTATTTTAGCTAGTAATGATACAAACAATAATTTCAGTACTATGCCTATTGGAGCTAGGAATCTGGAGAAAGAAAGAACAACTTTTGCCTGTTCATTTTGTTCAGCATTACCTAGAGTTAACTAGTGTGGACAACAGTCTTTTATTGACTTTCTTGGCTATTCTCAGAAATCTCTTTAATCTACTAGATGCCTATGCCACATATGTACACCACAAGTTATACTTGGTTTTGGATGGTTGTTACTGAATTAAGCCGAGATGCAGGCATAGTAAGCATCAGACTGATGCTGACAGTGGTTGTATAGATCCAATCATTCTCCCCAGCTATAAAATGACTTCCTCTTGCCATTGACTGTTTTGTGCTTTCAAGGCAAGACCTCCTCTTGCCTCATTTGAATTATTCGTGATAGTATAGCTAGCACTAACATTGAATAAGTATTTAATGTTTGCTGCTGCTTTTAGGAAAAGAATTACAACAAAAGATATGTTATTCACTTTGAGAGCCAGACGTGTTTGCATAAATAGTAGATGCTATAATTAGAACATCTGCAGACTTTCCAGCCTAGAAATCAAGGAAGTAAGTAGCAGATCAGAGGTTTGGCCTCATCCTTTTCTTCACATTGAGCAAAAGAAACCTGTGGCAGAATTCTCAGATGACCAATATTTGACATTTTATATCTCCAAATAAACACTCAGGTAGCCATTGCACGGGAATGAATTTCACCTGCTGATTGATATTTTTCTCGCAGGAAGTTCTATTGATTTTAAAATTGAGCAAAGATGGATGAATCTGATTCATTCTGATCCAAACCTCAACCAGTGAAACGTGGCATTATCATTAGTTGAGCACATGAGGCTACTTCTAGCAGTTTCTGAAAACTCAAGCTTTGCGACCTTATAGCTATTCACCCACAGGTGCTTGAGACGAAGTAAGGAGTTTTCCAGACTTCTGGCTGAAGTGGCAGAAGCTACTGGCAAAAGCTGCGTTACAGTTACTCAGTTACTATGCTAGTCTTGTGATGTTTCGCTACCGTCCATGCTTTGTAAGATATTTTGAAATACCTATTACAGGATAATGCTTAAGAGAGCTGATCTTATGGCAATTTTGTTCCAGACGCTAGAAATCTCATTAAATAACATAATATTTTATAGTTTCTAATGTGTGGGGGATGAAATCTGTAGAAAAAAGTGCCCATGAAACTCAACATGAAGCACACTGTGGTCAAGCAAGGCCTCAAGATGTAAAATGATAACTGAAACATAATCTGAGTACTCAGCTGGGCCTTATAGCAGTTTTTAGGTAAACGTCAGAGAGAACTTCTGAACTTCTGTATGCATCATTGCTTATGACATCAGCAGTTCTTAATATCAATTTTGAAACTTGATTTTCAATTTCTTAACAACTTTGATGAGAAGTGATCTGTGAATATAAGTCATAACGCTTGTAAGTATTTTACTTTGCCTCATGTTCAGCTGCAATGACGTCACTTTTAAAACCAAAGTAGAAATTGCATCATTGCATACAAAGGACAGGATACTATCTTAAAAGAGCAGAAATAGCTGCATACAATTTTTAGGAGATAGGCTTAGCATAAGCAAAGCAGCTTTACCATGCATTAAAACAGACAACGAATCAATCTTAAAAATAGTAAGGTGCTTCAAAAGGTAAGGTATTTACTCAGCCAGAAGGGGATGAATTCTGTCCTTCAGGCCTGTTTGAATGTTTTCTCTGACGATATTGGCAAGGTCACATGGAGCCAGCATGCCTGTCCATACATTTGGTCACTCCCTAGCTTGGGGCAAAAGTGACGTGCTGAAGTGTCTCACAGGGCAATATACAGCACTGCAGAGATAGTCAGGGGAATACAGGTATGTTAGGGATTTCCACTGTTTCCTACCTCTGTGTGAATTGGCCAAACTTCTGACATGATCCTACCTGCACCTTTTGCTTAATGTGAACACCTAAAGTCCTTGTGAGTGTTAAACTAGAGTAAAAGTTCTCTTGAAGTAAGAAAAAGCTCAGCAGCGCTGCAGAAGACAAAACAGAAAGGTCTGCAGGCAAACCTCCCCCTATCTAGCGTGTCCTTTCACAGCAAGCCCCTTCCAGCCCTGCACTCAGTCCAACAGGTTTCTCAGGTTTCCAATTGCAACAAATATTGCACTGTCCCTCTGGGTCTTTAAGAAACTCCATGTACATGCCAAGCCTCTATTCTTCACAGGCGTTTTTTGCTGTAGACTGTGCTGTAGACTCCCAACTTTTCGTTTTACATCTCCTCTTGTCTGACTCATTGCAGCAAAAACTTCTCTTAAATCTGCTTTCTCGCTTCCCCAGAGGCACAGATCGATATTCCTCTGCTTCGATATTCCTCTGCTTCACCTGACCCCCAAACATAACAATCTGAACAGAGACTGCCTTTCTCCCTGCTGTCCTCCCACTGCCCTTTTACAGGAACATAATATACAGCATCTGTAAACACTAGATAAAGGGCTACTACTCAATACAGTGTTATGCAATTAGTGCTCAAGTGGCAGCAAGATCTGCTTGTTAATTTTTAGCAGCACTCAGCTGAACCTGCCTTAGATGTACCTGTGTTTATATAAAAGAAAAGAGAAGATTCCAGGTACAGTTATAAGAAATTACGCAAGATAGCAATCTTAAGGGGACATGTTTATCTTTGCGGGAATAATTTTTGCCTCAAATATTCAGAGTTCTAGTATCCTCCTATCTCTGGTCTGAGTACGTTTTTATCCTCATTTTGTTTTAATAGCATCTGCTTTAGAGAAGCAATATGCTTCCTTGCATTAAGCAGCTGTTAGGG